ATATAAATAATAATATATATATATATATATATATAAAGATAAATATAAGATAAATTAACACATTCATAATCTACTGGAAAAAAAAGAATTAAGAGAAAAAAATTAAAAGTTATTCAAATTTAAATTTCTGATTTAAAAACAAAATTTTATGTTTAAAATTTGTATATAGATAAATGAATTACAAGTATTATTTATATATAAGAAATGCAATTAAATAAAATAGTACAATTATCAAGCATTAATTTAATAAAATAAAATACAATAAGAAAAAATATAACGAAAGTAATACGTTACTAATATGAAGACATAATACCAGATTTTTTGATAAACCAGATATTGTTTAAAATAATACAATAGTTTTTATCTTAATTTTTTTGTCTTCATAGCTATAAATGTACAATTATGTTTGCTAAAATATAAATGAAATGATATCGTCATTTGGAATATATGAAAAAAAAATAAATTTAAACTATAAATATGTTAATATTTTTATATATTATATATAATATAAATATAACTTACCTCCAAAAGTAAATTAACATATCTTCTAGTATTATTTACAATACACATTGCTAATTCATCATCAAATTCATGTACATCATCTAATTCTATTGTTAAATCTACTTGTTCACGATGAGCAATATTAGTTAGTTGTTTTCTATATTTAAATACTTTTTCATCAGTTACATCATCCATTGTTACAAATTCCGTCAAAAAAGTTTTTAATTTCTCTAATAAAATAAATAAAATTAAATAATTCATTATATTAAACACAATAAAATTACAATTTAAATCTTAGTGGTTATATAATGTCATTATGATTCAATAAAATATACTCACCCCTATCTTTTGTATAATCTCTTGATATTTTTGGTGGCATTTTTTCAAATTTATTTTCACAAATATTTTCAAACGTAAACTTTATACAGATTTATTTTCTCACATACAATATTAACCACATGTAATAATTCTTGAAGTAATCTTCCCGCCTAAATCGTGCCGGAAAGATTACAAGCTATAATATCGATAATTCGCTTTTTTATAATTCAAAAATATAGAACATTTTAATAAAAATATAATGTAAATAATACACAATTTATATTTCAATATGCAAATTATATTACATTTTTAAAATTTATAATTTATATTAAATAATAAATATAAACAATTGTAAATTATTTAGATAGTTCATATTACTGTTCAAAAATTTTTAATATTCCTTAATATACTAATTTTTAAATTTTATCTTTGTAATATATTTTTACACATTTACAATCGAAAATAATTTTATTTATTATAGTATTATTATATATAAAAATTTATTTTTATTTCAACATTGAATTTATAATATAAAATATATAACATAAAATTTATAATATAAAATATTTAAATTAAACGTATTGTATCATAATAGCATTTAATTATCTAATTAAAAAATATATTATCAAGTTTAACTAAATTTATACATTGATAGTTAAATATTTTACTTATAAATGAAGTAGATTGAATACAGTAGATTCACATCTTGATATATTTTATTAGAAATATTATCAATTTATTAGAAATTACTAGTTTCAGATTCGTGCCTTTTCTCACAATTTTATGAAACGTATTTAATAGGCACGTGTCATGGTAAATCACATAAATAAAGGCATGGTAATATTATAATTTATTTAGCATTTTATAATATCAATATTATAATTTATATAGCAAATATTTTTTATTAATTCTTTTTCGTTTATTACATCATAATTATTGTGAAACAATTAAAAAATTTTAAATAGATAGTTCATATTTTTTATTCCATATTTTGATATTACATGATAATTATTAACATTATTGTTTCTATTACTGCACGTATATACATATTCATTTTTCGTCAAGTAATTTTCCATAAATTAACTTAAATTTTTGATTTCAAAGGAAGCAAAAATTATACGATTTTAAATAAAACAATTATTTTATATTTCTTCAATTAATTTTTCGATTTTATTAAAGAAATGTATAAAAATTAGGGAAATAATATAAAAACAATAAAGAATTCAGATTAAAGATATGGCATTTCATTTTATTAAAACTTAATTAACTATTCGATTAAAAACGAGAAAAATGTAAATATATTTACTCGATAAATTAAATATAAAAATATATATTTAAGAATTTGGAAGGGAATGAAAATGATGAAATATCGGATGAATACGAAAAAA